CTGTAGGTCCGACCGACGTCTCCGTACAATGTTCTGTTGCACGCTGTGAACCCAGACACACAAAAATAAAATATCGATCGCATCTATCGTTTCCAATATCTTTCTCTCTCCCTCTTCCTCTCCTTTCTTTTCAATTTAATTTGAGACGCTCGAGGTTCCAACTTATTTATTAAGGAAAGTTTATGAGCTTTGAATGGAACGATGGACAACAATGTGTCTTTATTAACACGTTGACTGCCGCTTATTTAACTATTTATGAATGATATTTATAGGTATTTGGAAAGATATTCTGGAGAGTGTAATAAAATTATTAAATTGTTATAAAAATAATAAAAAAATAATTTATTAGAAAAATTATTTTGAACGTAAAATTTTAAAACATTATATATAAGATTGATTCGAACAATTTGGACAAAAAGTTGTTGTCTTTTTTTAATTCCTTCGTTTGATTGGTCCATTTATCATCTTTTATCCGAATATTATGTTGACTCCGTTGAAGATTTTGTTGTATTTTCAGATCAATAATTTTGCAACTAATAATTCTCTAATTTTTTTAATTACAAGTTTCATGATATGACAATTAGATAGTTTATGAACATATGCTCACATGATTACCTGCTGTGACATGAGAAACAAGCCCTGGTTTCTAATAGACAAAGCACACGAATAATTTATATACAATTCACAACTAAGAAGTACATTTGTTACTAGTCGAAGAGCATTCATATTATCCAAATTAAAATATCCAAAATACACTATATAAATCAGTACTACTATTCAATACTTTATTACTAATAATAATGATGAAAACAAATGATGCGAGATATTATTCTTGCGATCATCAGACATTACTAAAATATCGATACAAGTACTGGAATATACTTGGCTACAGTGGCGCACCACGTGGCCTAAAGGAGAGTTTCGTTAGAAACACGCGTGGCAGTTAACGTGTTAAATACATTTTCCAACTACATTCGCGGCCTGAAGAAGATTGGAAGAATTCAAATTACACGTTTATCGTGAAATGCGCTTTTGGGTCAACGAAAGGGGTCACGAAATTGGAAATCCGTATATTTTATTGTAAGTGGTGTATTTTAACCTATTTGATCGTAATCACGCATCGATATGAATTTTAATTGGATAAAAATTTCGAGGAAACGGATAAACTCACGGGTGCAATATTTCGGCTCGTCGGTGTTGTCGCCGCAATCATCTTCGCCGTCGCAGTATTTGTCCTGGGCGACGCAGTTTCCGGTCCCGCATAGATACTCGGATGGCCTGCAAATGGAATGTAAATAAAACTTACAATATATCTTTTCAAATTCATTCTGATACAAATATATATATATATACAATTCAATGGCGATTTTTAATCCCCGTTTAATCCTATTTTTGTAACAGCCGCGAACGGAAAGCGGGGAATAAGGGTAAGAAAATATCGATCTCGAACGCAAACAGGCTGGCGGACGATTTTTCAATTTATCCTCGTGAAAAATACAAGATTCTTTTTTCTTCCTTTTATATATATATATAAAATGGTGGAAGGGAAAAGTCTGTTCCAGCCGACCTTGTTTCAAAGTTCCTATAGAATCGCAGAGCTTTTCTCCTCCCCTAGATACTCTATACTAATTGCCCGCCCGTTTTCAAAAAGGGAAGATTAATTAAAAACTTTTCAACTTATCGCGTTAAATGTATCAAATATAGGAAAATTACCTGCAAACATTTTCCAGACTCGATGTCGGTGTTGTAGCTGTGGCGCCCGACGAGGATTCGGGCGACGTCAGGCCTGGATAGATCGGGAAGCCGGGATATCCAGAATAGTCTGACGAGATTCCTGGATGGTAACTAGCGGAGCCAGCCTCGATCGAGGCCGTGATCGCGGCTGCGATCAGCAGCAACCGCCGGCACATCA